CTGAGCTGCCCAAGGCACTGTGCACCGCCGCCGCCGCCGACGCCGGCAGCGCGGCCAAGAACATCTTGGCGGCGTGGTCCCGCACATGCTGGGTGTGCGTCTTCTGGCCCTTCCAAGAGGCCCTGGCGCCAGCGGTCGCCCTGGGGGCGACGGCCTCCCGCCAACCGTCCCTGCTCCGCGTCCGCCGCCGAGAGGGCGCGGCCAAGGCCCGGCCACCGCCGCCAGAAGCCAACCGCCGTCGTCTCGCGGAGCTCCTGGGCAGCCGCGCGGATCCCGGCTTCCCGGGGCGCCAGGAGGGCAGCGGGGCCGCGCTGTTCGGCGCTGCCACAGCCCAAACCTCCGTCGCTGACCTTCATGAAGATCTGCCCTCGGGGGGCGGCCGTGACCCCCAGAAGGGCGTTGACGAAGGCGATCACTCCGTCATCCACCCGGCGGCCCCGCGCCGCCGTGAACGGAAGCGCGCGCTGGATGTGGGCGCAGGCGCCCCTCGACCAGATCCGCACCAACTGGAAGGCGTCAAAGGCAGACAGCCCGCGCGTTTGGAGCGCCAGGAGTTCCCGGAAGTAGCGGTCCTGCTTCTGGAGGAAGGCCTCGCCGCAGGGGAGTGGCATGGCGGCAGCCGGGGCGACCCCGGCACCGCCGGCCGGCGCGAGACCGCCCGCGTCGAGGTCCTCCGGGGCGGCAAAGTCCGCGAGCGGGACGCCCCGCCAGTCAGCATCCACGTCGTGGTTTGTGCAGGCCAGAGTAGACCCCACCGCCTTGAGCTTCGGGACGAGGCACTGGGCGTACTCCGCGAACTCCGGCGGCAGGGCAGCGTGAGGGTCCGGGGACCAGATCTGGGTCTTGGACATCTTCAGCTTCATCCCATGGGCCTCGATGCGGGCTCGCCAGGCATCCAAGCCGCGGAACACAGCAGCCGCGGTGCCCACGAAGTACGCGTCGTCCAAGAACGCCAGGCAGTCCCCCTCGACGTCCACCGCGCGCACGGCCGTGCGACCGATGCTGAGGTCATCCGCAGTGCCGACCGCGTAGAAGCGAGGGCTCATAGGGCAGCCCTGGTCGAGGCCGCGGATCTGATCGACCAGCTGGGCAGGTTGGGACCCACCACCCGCCGCGCGGCGCGTGCGAGCAGGGGGCCAGGCCTCCGCCAGCGGCGCCAGGGCGGGCACCTTGGAGCGCACGGCCTCCTTAACGAGGCCACGGGGGATGTTGCTGAACGCATCCCCGAGGTCCACCGCCACCACCCACTTGCCGGGGCTCGAATTGGCCGAGGCGTCGATGGAGGGCACCGCAGCCGTCCTTAGCCAGGCCGAACTGTTGGTCCCCCACCGCCGCCCGCATGTCCGCGTGATTGACCTTGGCCGCGCTGCGGCCAACCATGCGGCGGGTGACATTCCCACGGCCCAGGACTCGCACGTCCCCAGGGGTGGCCTTGGGGATGCCTGCGAGGCGCGCCGCGGTCAGGGCGGCTAGAGCATCGGGAGGAAGGTCACCGATGGCCACGCGCGCCAGCGTGTTGGCTACCGCCTCCGCTCCGTCTTCGTCGTGCTTGAGCGGAGCCCAGTGCTCGTAGCGGCCGCCCCCAGGTCCCGCACCGCCACTGCGGGGGAAGCGACCAAACTGGCGCTTGAGGTGGTTGGCCACGCGGTGGCGTAGCTCTGCTGCGCCGAGGAGCTCGTGAGGGGGCGTGGCTGGCGGCGTCGCCACGTCGGCCCCCGCCGCGGGCCCCCCCCCCCTGGCCCATGCGGGGCGGCCCCAGTGCCAGGGGGAGTGTCCCATTCGCCTGGGTGAGGCGCCGCAGGCTGCTGGGTGGTGCTGAACTTCCGAACCACCGCCGCCGCTTCCGCCATATCACCCTGGGGCCACACTGCCGCTGCCGCCCGAGACATTTCGCCCGCTCGCGCGAGCTCAGTGACACGGCAGACGCGGGCCGCGACGTGGTCTTCGCGGCCCTCCGTGGTGACCGAGGTGCGCGTCTGGTCCTCCATGCAGAGCCAGGCGACATCCCACTGGCCGTCCTGGATCCACTGCAAACGCTCCTGGAGGCGTTCTCGTCGCGTCGTCGGGGCCGGGGTCGCGCTCTCGCTGAAGAGCAGCCCGTCCAGAGCCGAGAACACCTTCCACAAACGCGTCAGCGTGCGCGACGCCAGGCCGTCACCGCCCTGGCGGGCCTGCTCGATCGCCAGGCACAGCCGCACCTTCACGTGGCTAACCGCGGCGGCCATGCTGTCAGGGATCATGGCCGCGGTGGGCGCGCCCTGCAGCAGGACGCGGTCCCACCCGATGGTGTCCCACCAATCCAGGTTGACAAACCGAATCTCATGGTACGCATCTTCGTCAGCCACCTGGTCGTCCAGGTAGTCATCGTAGACGCCTGCTTCGAGCCCGCCGCCGTCGTCCGCGGCCGCGGGGGCGTCAAGGGGCGGCTGTAGGATGTCCGCAGGAGACGGCGCCTCCGCCTCGGCTGCCACCGGGGGGGCCCCTCGGGGGCCTGGGCCATACGCCCCTGGCGCGGCGGCGGCAGGGGGCCTCGGGGCGACCCCAGCACCCCGTGCCGCGCCGTCTCCCTGAGAGGGGGGAGTGGGAACCTGGCCTTCGACCGTCTCCAGCAGGGGCAAGATGGGGCCGCCTCGGGCCTCCAGAGCAGCTGTGAGGCGTTCCCTGTCGCCCTCGGGGAGCTGCGTGTAGCCCTCCATCGCCGTCGCTGGTGGCAAGGGGCCATCCACGCAGGTCATGTGGAACCACTTCTTGCCCGCGTGCGCCTGGGAGCCCACGGGGCGCGTCACGGCGCCTGCCACGCGCCACTCGCCCGCCTCGAAGCCTCCCATACAGCGGGTGCAATGGGCTTGCTTGCCGCGGGTCGCCTGGGCGCTGACGCACCAGCGAATGATGCGTCCGCCCGTCATGCGGCGCCGTCGCTGCGCCGGCTGACCTTCACTGTCCCGCATGTGGACGTCGGTGCCGCCGTCCACTGGGACTTCTGGAACGCTTGCACCGGCCGATGCGAGTGCGGCAGCGGAGGCGCACGGGGCGGCCCCGGCACCTCCGCTGCCCGCTGCGGCTGCCAGCGCACCGCCTTCTCCTCGGGCCGCCGCGTCGTTACTCCCAGCCACTCGAGCCCCTGCACCTGCGTCCGCAGCGCCGCCAGCGGCCGCCGCCATCCCGGGACCTCCCTTCAGGGCAAGGAAGAGTGTGCGTAACGGTAAGGGCACGAGAAAAGGAAGGGTGGCTGCCACCCGCGGTTTGAGGGCAGCAGTAGCCCCCCCGCCCACAGGCTCCCCAGAGCCTTGGGGGGACTACTACCTACTACTACTACTACTACTACTACTACTACTACTACTGCTACTGCTACTGCTACTGCTACTGCTACTACTGCTACTACTACTACTACTACTACTACTACTACCACTACTACTACTACTACTACTACTACTACTACTACTACTACTACTACTACTACTACTACTACTACTACTACTACTACTACTACTACTACTATAACTACTACTACTATATACTAGTACTACTACTAACTACTACTACACCCCACCACTACCACTACCACTACCTACCCACACTACTAACTACTACTATACTACTACTACTACTACTACTACTACTATCACTACCACGACCACTACCACTACCACTCCTATTAACTACTACTACTACTGCTACTACTACTACTACTACTGCTACTACTACTAACTGCTACTACTACTGCACTACTGACTACCTACTACCTACTACTACACTACGACTACGACTACGACTACGACTACGACTACGACTACGACTACGACTACGACTACTACTACTACTACTACTGCTACTACTACTACTTCTACTACTACTACTACTACTACTACTACTACTACTACTACTACTACTACTACTACTACTACTACTACTACTACTACTACTACTACTACTACTACTACTACTACTACTACTACTACTACTACTACTACTACTACTACTACTACCGTTAGTCCTTCCCGGCAATTGGGTAATTCCCTGGTCACTTTTTCCTGGAACCAGTGCCGTCTCCTTCTAAGGTAATGATATTGTGTCTCGGCTCTTGCACGGACGACACACAACTACGTTTACTACGAGCGAGGTCTTCCAGCCAATACTCATGTCCCCGGTCGACTGGGGAAAACCCCATTTAACCGGTGTTTAAACCATCGAACCGGGGAATAGACCACTGCCCCTGGCTCCTGTCCAAGGAATCGCCGCCTCCCGACGGCGAGTGCCTGCTGGCACTGGCTCGACGGGCCCAGGCTCTCCAACAGCAGTGGCGCGACGCCCCAGCGCGGCCCGCCCAGCTCCGGGAGCGGCTCGCCGGAGCCCCGGCTGCCCGTGCTGTTGCGTCGCAGCGCTCGCCCACTCGGGCGCTCCTCGCAGCGCTCGCCCACGCGAGCGCGCGACAGCGCGCGGCAGCGTGTCGAGCCCGTCCTCGGACCCGCAGCGCCTTCGGCGTGTCTCGCCCCGAATTCTTGGGCCACGCCCCTGATTGCCACCAGCCTGGCTCGGTAGTGCTCTCCCATCTCTCCACTCTCTCCACTCTCTCTTCTTCTTCGTCTTCTCCTTCTTATTTGTTTTCTCTCTCCTTCTCTCCCTCTCTCTCTCTCTCTCTTCCCCCCCCCCCCCGGAGACGCACGGCGAGGCATGCGAGACCGACGAGGACGACCGCGACGCTGACGGCGACCACGGCCAACGGCGCCTGTCGGCGATGCTCTTCTGCGACGACGGCGGAACAGCCACGGCGACGACGCTTGGACGCCCGAGTTATCCGGGGTAACTCGGGTCCGGGATAACTCGGGTTTGGGTTCCCGAAAAACGAACCCGAGTTAGCCCTGACCCGAGTTACCCCTGATGATTCGGGGCTCTGGACGCCCGAAATATCCGGGGTAACTCGGGTCCGGGATAACTCGGGTTCGGATTCGGGGCTCTGAGACGCTGGCAGCGGCGACGAGGACGGCGGCGGCGACGTCGGCCTGAACTCGCAGTAGGTGTCCGGCTTCGGACTGCCGTCCACCTCGTCGAGGTCGCGCGGGTTCCAGAGCACCTCCGCGGCCGGCGGCGCTGCCGCCTCGGCCCTCGGCGTTCCCCTCCTCCTCCTCCTCTTCCTCCTCCTCCTCCTCCTCCTCCTCCCCTCCTCCCTCCTTCCTCCCCTCCTCTTCCTCCTCCTCCTCCTCCTCCTCTTCCCCTCCTCCTCCTCCTCCTCCTCGGCGTTCCCCTCCTCCTCCTCCTCCTCCTCCTCTTCCTCCTCTTGCACCTCCTCGCCTCCTCCATTCCTTTTCCTTTTTTGCGTAACTCCTCCCTGTCGCATCCCGAAGCCAGTTGGAAGGGCCGCACGTTTCGCCTTACCATTTGTGATCATGAAGCCTGAGAAGGGCTAGCATCTCTCAGAAGGGGGGAGGGTCACTTCCAAACTGTGTTTTCCGCCTTTGCGTCGCGCCCATTCGTCCTTAAACAATTGAAGGATTTCTGGCGTTAAGGACGGGCAACTTCCAACATGTGGCTCTCGCCTTGGCGCCGCGCGCTTTCGTTTAACGAAAAACAAACAGTTTCACGGATTGAAGCCGGGTCGCTTCCAACATGTCGCTCTCGTCTTAGCGCCGCGCACATGCGTTGCAAACCATTGCAGGTATTTCACGGATTGAGTGCGCGTCGCTTCCAACATTTGGCTCTTGTCTTAGCGCCGAACGTGCTTGTTTGAAACAGTTGCAATCCTTTCACGGATTGGGGGCGGCTCCTTTGGCAACATAACAAAAAGCTCTTGCATGAGCGCCGCGCGCATCCGTTTTTGTAACACAAATTCAATCACTTCACACATTATGATCGTTCCCGTTAGTGGCATGGAGGTTTTGAAACGTTCCAGGACTGTCAGCACGAAGAAGTTATGCTGATTAACGGTGTTGACTTTCCAGGAATGGTGTTCGGGCAGGATGAAAGACTGCCAATTAAACTGTAACAATTAGGTTGGCTCGTGGCGTTGATGTCCCGATAACGGTTGCTTGGCATGCTTCAAGTTTTTTTGAGAACGGATGTCTCCCAACGGGGCATTTCCCACAGTGGAAGTGAATTCTTGTACCAGGCTTACAAGGAGGGAGCTCGGACGGAGGGTCTATTCAAACATCGTTGATGCGTCTCGGGTTTACACTGGTCCTCCTCCTCCCGCTCCTTCTCCTCCTCCTCCTCCTCCTTCTCCTCCTCCCCTCCTTCTCCCCCTCCTCCTCCTCTTCCTCCTCCTCCTTCTCCCCACACTCCCTCCTCCTCCCCATCCTGTTGCTCGTTCTCCCTCTCCCTTTCTCCCCCTCTTCTCCCTCTCCCTCTCCCTCGTCCTCCCGTTCCGTCCCCTCCTCCTCTCTCTATCTCTCTGTCAGAAAGGAGCAGGGGGGAGGGCGGAGGGGGAGATGAGGATTCGGGGAGCTGGGCGCAAAAGGAGGAGCAGGAGCAACGGGAGAAGGAGGAGAAGGAGGAGGAGGAGGAAGAGGAGGAGGAGGGGCCAGAGGAGGATAGGGGAGGACGAGGAGGTGTTTTCCCTCGCGGGCCCTCAAAGCAGAACGTGAAATATGCAGCCTTCGGCTGATCCTGCTGCTCGAACGGCCTCCTCGCGTTGACGGGACCATTCCGCCAGGGCTGGCATCCCAGGTGTCGTGATCAGCCTCGAGCGCGGGGCTGTGAGGAGGCAGCACATACTTAGCCGAGGCACGACAAGTGGTGCCATCACTCGCAGCAACTGTACCTTCCGATCTATAGTGAGGGTGGAAACCTTGGCGAACTCGCTTGACCGCACCGCGCCCACACGGGCCAGGTGTGCCATCGAGCTGCCTCCGGGACGGTAGCACCTCTTACCCGTGCAGGCGCCAAATCGGACACAGGACAGCAGCGGAACACATTCCTCGTCCCGCGCAAAGGTCGAGCACATGAGGTGGCCGCGCTCGTTCTCCGCGCCTTGCACTCGTCGGAGGGCCGTGGGCAAAATTCTACAGCCCGTTATCGGACTGCTCCTTCCGAGCACCATAAAAAACAACTTCGTGCATCGAGCAACATATGGCGCTTGTCCAGTCGTGCCACACGATGGCGCACAAGGCTCTCGCTTTCGACCAGGGGGCCCTGGCTTTCACCGAACATGGCCACCACTTTTCGGAGCATGGCCGCGTCGGCATCTAGTTGCTCAAGCTCGTCAGTCGACAAACCTGGGTGCAAAGACAAAGCGTGCTTCGCGAGGCAGGCCGCATTCTGGTTGCCCAAAGTTATCGTGCATCCTCCTGTCGCAAGCGCGGCTATTACCCCATCTGGGCGATGGGCAGGCGTGTAGGCGAATGACGCTATGCTAGCCGTTCCCTCTTCCTGGAGGGCTCGCCTCCGAAGTCCAGCAACAGCGTGGCTGGGGAACAGCCTGGCAGAAAAGCTCGAGGTAGCGGACAACTCCTGGACTGCTGCTGTGGGCTCGCAGATACCTGAGGCGAGGCAACGACAAATAACTATGCGGAAATTCTCGCCCGACTGGGCCGTCTGGGGAAGACCAGGCAATACTGTGCCTATTACGATACGAGGCTTCATCTCAAACACTTCGTCGGGCGCCAGAAAACAACAGCGGTCGATTCACAACAACGCTCCACCAATACTGGCTCACTGGTGGGCCCTTGGAAAAAGGGGGCCGAGGTTGAAACACAGAGGAGGGGTCTCGGGCTGAGCCGCTATAAGACGAGACCACAAAACAGTCTTTCAGGCGTACAATCCTGGACAGCAGGAGTCTCCTTTTCTGAGAGATGCTGGCGGCGTGCTTCGACGACGGTCGGATACAAACATAATATCTCCCCGTGGACAATGGAATCGGGCTCTCCGCAATAAGGCCCCCCCACGTCCGAAATCGAACCCTACGTTTTTAACCGATCCGATGGGCAACAGGCGCCAGAGAAGCAAGCAGAGGGCCAGTACTTCTGTCGACCGAACCTCTTTGAACGAACCATTCGCCTAAAGGGACCAGGTGAGTCACGAGCGGCAGAGAGAGAGAGAGAAAGCACACAGAGAACAAGCCATCCTACGCTCATGCATCCGCCGCACGCCGTCCTCCAGCATGTTGCCCAGTAGCGCTGGAGAGGAGGTGCAAAACAAATCGATAGCATGGCCTTGTTCGTCGCACGCCGTCCTCTCGCATGTTGCCCAGTAGCGCTGGGGAGGAGGTGCAGAACTAATCGATAACCTATCCTCGTTCGTCGTGCCAGACCGAGGAGCCCGCCGCCTTCCAACCGATCCTGTGTAGACTGAGCAACGTCCCGTGAGTGGGGTCCCGGGACTTCTTCCGACCCATGGCCCGTCGATCGACCTCCTGGCCCTGGGCCGTGCCCCCTCCAGGTCTGAAGCTGCGGGCGAGCGGAGCACGGGGGCATGTCGGGTCGGGTGGCCGATCTCCACAAACCCGTGGCCCAATTGGGATTCTGGTGCGATAGACTGTTTCCATGCAAGGTCACCGTGCAAAACCAACTTGGCCGTCAAAGAAGCCCTTCTGCGAGCAGGGCTCTTGCAGGAAAAGGGGAGGCGTTGGAGGGATCTACGTTCATCACCTGCCAGACCTAGTACCACAGTGCCATAGCCAGCAGCAGGACGAACGCCAGCAACGTCCATTTTATGCATTCGGGATTTGTCCCGAGAAAGCGCCCGACAATACTGCGACATAAACCGATGCCGTTTCCCCATCATCCTGAACCTCTCCTTCCTCTGATCCTTTCCTCGCTTGCAGGCTCGGCGCTAACCCGGGGTCAAGTCCGTGCCCAGCGGGACGGCCGCGGTGGTCTCAGCCGATGGACAAACCGCACGCAAGCGACAGCACAGACGATTGGCAAGTCGCTGCGAGGAGGCAAACGTGACGGCCCACATCGGCAGGCTCTTCTTGCTGCTGCTGATCGTGGTCCTGGTGGTGGATAGCGTTTTCAGCTATGGGGCTACTCCAGAGTTCGGGTGCTTAATTCATCTTCCTGTCCTTTCCTTCTCGCCCTGGCGAGGTTAGCTACAATGGGAACCCTCATCGCCGTAGGCCGCAACAGTGCCAACGTCGACGTAGGAACTTATATTCTCTTGAGAAAACGCTGCGGGCGCTCTCTTACGCTTTCACGATCAACATTATTGTTATGTTGTTGGGGTCATTTTTATTCCTCCGTTTTGGGATTGCCGTCTCGCCGTTTTCGATTCGGTTTACGATCCGGTTTCTGGGTGTTGTTTCCATCTGCCGTTGTTGTCTGGTTTCCGTTGCTGTCAATGTGTTTTCTTGTTTGGTTTGTTTTTCTGTTTGGGGTTGCCGTGTTTCGCTCGTTTTGAGCCCGGCTGGAGTTGTTGGTGTTGGTGTTGTGGTTGTTGCTGTTGTTGTTGTTGTTGGTGGTGGTGGTGTTGTTGTTGTTGAACTCTCATTTCTGAAGAATAATTATTGTTGATCCCCCCTGTCCGGTGCCCATTGGTTTTTTCAATTGAAGTGCTTCCTCCGGGGCTCGCACCCTGTTTTTTGACAGGGAAAGCCTTGCGGATCAGATTGCGTTGTTGGGCCCCGGACTACAACAACAACGGCTCCCGCCTGAGACCTCCTCACAATTTACTCAGGACCCCCGCCCCCGCCTGAGACTTCCTCAAAATTTACTCCGGAAGGGCGCTCCCTCTTCAAATTTTTCACATTTTACTCAGAAACGGCGCTCCCGCTTGAGACTTCCTTAATCAGGACCCCTGCTCCCGCCCGAGACTTCTTCATAATTTACTCAGGAATGGCGCTCTCGCTTAGGACTTCCTTGCAATTTATTGCAGCATCGCGTTCTCGACGCTCAGGAACCACGCTCGCGCCAAGGACGCCCTCGCAATTTACTTAGGAATCGCGCTCTCGCTTAATACTTCCTCGCAATTTACGCAAAAATCCCGTTTGAATGTCCCGCCCGCCCGACCCGCCCGTCAGGGTCCGCCCGCCCGACCGGCGCTCCCGCCTGAGACGTCCGACAATGTACTCGGGACCCCCGCTCCCGCCCAACTCTTCCTTGAGGAATACGCCCTCGCCTAGGACTTCCTCGAACGTTCACA